GGGTGAGGGGGGATGGGGTGAGGTGGAGGGGGTGGGTAAGGGGGTGAAGGTGAGGGAGGTGAGGGGGAGCGTTTCATAATTGGTCAAAATCTTCGAACGACATTAATGGTACATGTACAATATTGCTCCACATTGGAATTGGGAGACACTACTTTAGAAGGTTTTCACTCTTTAACCCCTAATTATATATATAATAGCCCCTGCTGATGTTCAGCCCCCTGGGGGTCAGACCCTATTTGAGTAAACATTCTGATCTTCATCAAATGATTTTACAGATATTGGTGAAAATATACAGGTTTCCAGGGAGATGACATTTCAATGATTTTAATTCCCATAACAAGCTAATGATTGTCACAAAGTTTCATTAAAATTTGATGAATGTTTTTCTGAGGAGAGACAAAAATATGTTTTTGGACGACGGACCATGCAAATATGACACACAAGTCAACTACGAACGAAAGGCTATTCCAAAAGGTCAACTGATCAAGTGAATCAAGAGACAATTACTTTATAATTATATAATCATGTGCACAGAGATATACCTACCAAATATAGGCACAAGAGAACGGCAGCTTCCAAGGAATGGCTGAACAGGAATGCCTCCATCTTCTTCTAGTTTAATATCCATAAAACTATAAAAGAAAAAAAATGATCAATTATTATCTATATAATACTTTATAAGAGTCAATTTTTCAAATTTCTTCAACCTCTTTATCAACATGACTAAAAATATGCACTTTCTAACATACACCAAACATGCATATTAACACGCAAACACTATGGTCATTTAAGGACGTGCCAGGTTTTGGTGGTTGAGGAATGCCAGAGTTCCCCGGTGAAAAACTACTGATCTACAGCCAGTACATGGCGACTGCCCCACATAGGTCTTGAACCCATGACCCAGAGGTGAAGGGCTAGTGGTATCAGAATGTCAGACGCCTTAACCACTTGGCCACCATGGCCCATCCCAATATAAATACAGCAAAATCAAGAATATCTTACCTCCCAATATGAATACAGCAAAATCAAGAATATCTTACCTCCCAATATGAATACAGCAAAATCAAGAATATCCAATATCATTTCACTGTCATACATTGGTTCAGACAAATGAGGTTGATGTTTTGAGGATTAATTTTGTGCTTTGAAAGCTCTTGCTTCTATTTAGTAACAATTTGAATTTTCACTAACCACTTGTTCAAGTTTATTTGCTCGATGAGCAACCACAGGACCAGATTATTACACTGGTGCTCTTACTAATGGTGGGCTGATGATCAAATAAAATAAAATAAATCAATCGGTTTGCCATTTCCGATTTTCAATTATTGATTACAAATTCAATACTCAATAATATAATCAATTCATTATTGAAATGAAAAGGTCAAATGTAGACAATGTAAAGTATACATTAAAAGTAATTTATTATTATGACTTTCACTTTATGTTTGACAAAACTGCATAAAAGTTGCTTGAAATCCATTCTTTATAAAAGAATGAAACCTAATGTATAAACTGATTATGCACGTAATCATCAATCAGTTTACTACTTCTGATCACAAACCTATTATCAATTATGATTTTAAACCGATTGCCCATCACTAGGTCTGATCATACAGTGTATTAGCTGGCTGGATACGGTGTCTACAAGAAACTACAGTAGAAATCTCTAGTATTTTGCCTGTAGTAGGAAAGGAAAGTCTGATCGGTTCAACTGTTTAAACGAAAGAAAACGGCCCTGATTATCCACTGCAAAGGGCTATAATCAATATCTTAGTGCTAAAAGAATTACCTTGGCTCCATGGTGGAGAAAAATGTTGGAACTTTTGCATCTATAGCATCTTTAAATTCCTCCTCACTGTTAATGCTTGTAGAAGATAATGACTTTCCACTGGATTTCTCAAGGGAGGTAACTCCATTTTCTGTTCGTTTTGAACTATGATCCAGTCCAGAATTCACATTTGTTTTTGACACACTGCCAGAAGTCAATGATTTACTAAAGGAATTGGTTTCCATGGTAACTGATAGCCTGGTACTGGAATTTCTATTGTCACTTTCTGTGTGGTCTCTGTTTGCGTCCATTGAATGGTCTGAGAGCGACTGGTCCGAGTGAGAATTTTCTGAAGCCGTCCTTCTACGATTAGAACTCTTAGGAAATGATGGCAGGCCGTCTCTGGGAAGTGGTGAAGTCCTCACGGATCTGGACTCTGCTGATGAGGGTCTACAATCAAAGGGAGGATTTCTTAGTTACGGTACATCAAGACATTTGATTGTTGTGAAAGACAAATTTGGGATTAATTTAATTTGTGAAGAGACTTTTTGGCCAATTAAAATCATTCAAAATTTATCATTCCAGAGATCAATATTGAAATTGCATCATCTCAATCATGAGTTTAAGTATAAGACCAACAGGCTTATACTGTGAAATCACTAACTTATGTGGGGCTTTTAATTTCGTTGATTTTTTGGGTAATCTTCATCCACAATTTCATATATGTCCACAAAGTAGTTACTAGTAGGAATCAATTCCCCATTTGAGTGGGTACTTGTAATCTACAAACTCATGTACATGTACCCACAAAATGGTGTTTTGACGGGAAATCAAGAAAGTTGAGCCCCAACGAAAATATCTCATTTCACAGCAGGTAGTTGGGTAAACAAAGGACACATAAAAGTGGAGTAAATGTACAGTATGTGTAGTATTAATGTACATTTTTCATATTTTAAGATATCATTGAATTTTAACATTTAAAATGAGAGATGAATTGGTTTACTATTTCTATATTTAAATATTTTGAGGGATTAATATATGCAAGCCACTGATGTATTGTACAATCTTTCCAAGTTTCCAAGCTTGAAGTTTTTCTGGAGAGGAATGTTTAAGTTTAGACTGACATTTGGAATCTGAATATTTTATTAGATTTTTACTTACCTCCCAGAAGTAGACAGCCTCTCCCCCTATAAAGAAAGAAAGAAATATCAGCTCCAGGACAAATATACTGTTTTGATTATTGTGTTATGTATATTATAATACAATTGCTATTGGTGAATACACTAATGCTATAATTTTACTGTTGTACTCTATCTTGTATTAGTATTGAGTACTAACTTTAATAATGACTGTCGAAAAATTGACTACAACTTATATTTGATGTATTTACTTATTATTATATAATAAATTCATAAGATCACATAACTTTTCATACATCTATAAAATATCTCCTGACATTTATAAACCTCACGGTCTGCTTCTAACAATAGTCCTTTAGATAAGATTTGTACTTTAACTGACTCAATTTATGTAAAAGCAGCACTACAGTGTATTGACCAAAATAAGTTTTGTTGGTGGTCGGATGGGGCAGTGGATAGTGCACTCGCACTTCACCAAGACGGCCGTGGTTTGATTCCTCGATTGCGTGTGAAAAGTTATTGGGTCACCTGCCCAACCTCATGTTTTTTTTCTGATTACTGTAGTTTCTTCCCGCATTAAGACCCACGGCACACTTCCATCCAGGCCAATAAAAGTTATTAATATGTATGTTGCAATTAAACATGTCTAATAATTGTTATAAAATAGATGAAGTTTATATCTATATATAAAATAAAATCGGACAATGTTCATACAAACGACTCTTATTTCTGACATGGCTATATATAGATACACATATCTATCACGATCAGTGGTTCCTTTGACAAAGTGAAGTTAAAGTTTGTTTGAAGCACACCTTTTTAACGGTTTTCTGAGGTAGCACAAGTTGGACGTCCCGTACTGGTTTTGGTGAAGTTTCATAAGCAATGCTGGCATTTGCAATTTTCATGCAATCATCCAATGTTTGAATGAAGGTATCACATGTAGCACCAAGGAGTGACGTCGCCTCGTCCAGCTTCTGTAAAGGCAGAGAGGTTCAGAATGTATCAAGTGATTAAAACAACTTAACAACAAGTAACATTGCCTCGTCCAGCTTCTGTAAAGACAGAGAGGTTCAGAATGTATCTAGTGATTAAAACAACTTAACAACAAGTAACATTGCCTCGTCCAGCTTCTGTAAAGGCAGAGAGGTTCAGAATGTATCAAGTGATCAAAACAACTTAACAACAAGTAACATTGCCTCGTCCAGCTTCTGTAAAGGCAGAGAGGTTCAGAATGTATCAAGTGATCAAAACAACTTAACAACAAGTAACATTGCCTCGTCCAGCTTCTGTAAAGGCAGAGAAGTTCAGAATGTATCAAGTGATCAAAACAACTTAACAACAAGTTACATTGCCTCGTCCAGCTTCTGTAAAGGCAGAGAAGTTCAGAATGTATCAGGTGATCAAAACAACTTAACAGCAAGTAACATTGCCTAGCCCAGCTTCTGTAAAGGCAGAGAAGTTCAGAATGTATCAAGTGATTAAAACAACTTAACAACAAGTAACATTGCCTAGCCCAGTTTCATATCATTCATGAGATTTTCAAAGTTGGTCAAGGTCATTTACTTGAACAAACTACATTACCTTTCAATGCACCCAGCATGACCATTAACCTCTTTGTTATTTAGTAGAAGTTGATTAAAGATTTTAAAGCTACTAACCCTGTGACCAAGAATAAAGTGCAAGGTACCTTCTATTTATAAATTTCAAAGCAAGCCATTGAAAATTACTTTGCAAACTTTGTAGCACTCCATGTCAGCAAGCTACTGTATACGTCTTTGATATCCAATGGTGAAATACCAGGTAAATAAACTGACCTTGACCTTACATCAGCAAAATAGCAACTCAGACTGAAGAAACAGCATGCAAAAATACTGACATTTACCTTGGCCTCGCAAAACATCAGTTAAATACACTGACCTTGACCTCAGATCAATAAAATAGCTACTCAGGCAGACGAAACAGCACATAAGTTACTAACCTTGACCTCGGGTTGACTTTCCTGTATTGCACTCTTCACCGAGTGGACCTGTTGCATCAGTAGATCACAGTATAGTCGTAATTCTGACTTCTTCGTCCGTACAATGTCTGGTGATATCTCACCTGGAATGAAATAAGAAATGTCCACTTCAAACTACCTGTACAATAATTTCACATTAATTGTTCTATTCAGATAAAAGTTACGTGTGGAATAATGTTTATATGACAAATAGCACAGAATCCATTTTCGAAGTGTTGTTTGATTCCTGAAATCACTTAAGGATCCTAATTCCACTGCCAAAAACTGCACCTATGTATAAGAACCTGCGTTGCTACAAGGGCATACACTATAGCTCTGGTAAATCATTCTGAGGTAAGGGGCACCACTGCATTACTTAAAATTGACCAGAAAAGTTTCATTCAGTTTTTTTTTTACTTGGAGTACATTCTGCCTTTAATATATAGAACATGAAGCAATCAAAAGGAGTTTTTCTGGTTTAGGGTAACATCCTGTTTCAAGTTTTTCATGAGCTTTATAGCCTATAAGTTATATCAGACACTCATCTTGAAGTTGCTTTTATTATTCCTGGATGACAGTAGTGGTAAAGTGTAGGTTTGGCAGTGTAAAGGTCCCAAGTTGGACCCCTTCAGTGTTTATGTTTTCTTTTTTCATTTCTATTTTCCAACATTTGAACCTCGAACATAATTCTGTACCACATGTGATTTTATGGAATTCTTCTTTTGAAGGGCTTAACTCATTCACCCCTGAAGACACATATGCACGCTTCCAATTCAAAGGTTGAAACAGTTCATTATAAAATTTTAGGGGTGAATGAGTATATTTTTCAATAGTGATGATGGTGATGATATAGCTTAACCAGTTGGCACCCTTTGCCTTTATTTGATTTTTTTCCTTGCACGGCCCCAGGAACCACATGGGGCAAAGCTAGAAATTATGTTCAGGTTCAACTAAGGAATAGACTAAAGTGGTGTTAAAGGTACAAACCCATCTCCTCTGATGGCCTGCCATTGGTCAAGGATGCCTTACACGTTCCCATGGCAACCAGCCATCTTTGACGTTCGTGTGGAGATGAGGCTTTGATGTAGAAATGCTGTTCATGTGGAATGATCAGGTCTAGTCTAGTATGATCGGTACTGTGTACTGTAAGCAAGGAAAATAGTAAATCTAAGTTATTTAGTATGTGTATCAGAGTTCATTGTTGATAGCTGGAAAGGAAGACACTGTGTTTCTGTAGAAGACACAGATTTAAATTCTGCTGGAGCCTCACATAATTTGCCTCCAATGATAACCTGTAATGTCCACATGTCAAGGTTTTTATGCAAAACCCTTTTGGCAAAATAGTTTTGCAGTCCATTAACAATTTTGGACATTTTCGACCATTTTGTTTTTGGAATGGGATAGCTCCTGATATTGTTTGACCTGGTGTTGTTTGAGCCAGATGATTTTATTTCACAGATATTTTTGCATTTTGTAAAAATTGTATTGCACTATTTGATTTAGATTCATTTAAATACTTTGGTTTATAATACAGTTAGAAAGTATGGGAACCTATCTGAATTACACAATCCAGCTGATGTCTGAAAGATTGTACGTACAATGTTGACTAATATTACAGATGAACAGTTAAACAAAATATATCTAACACATGGAAAATAGTACATATCACCCAGTTGTGTAATTTTCTAGCTTAACCATTTGGATATATAATTTAACTTCTAATGAAATAGATAACTAAAATAAAACATAACTGGGTAATGGTTTTTCCAACAAAAGTATACTGCAATATATGTTGCAAATCTTGAGAATATACAACTATTTAGAGGGAGCAATTAAATTCCACATTTCTTAAATAGTATGCATGTATGGTAAATAACGAGTACTCATTTTGTTTACCTGATATATCACAAACGGACATTTGTAAGGAGCCCTTACACCCATTGATAACATCCTCTTGAGACTTGTAGTAAGACAGCACACCGTTATCCAAAACAAACCACCTTGGCTGCCAGCCTACAAATAGACCAACATTTTTAACAAACATACCGAAGTAGTCCGAGTTTCCATTGGCCCTGACACCAGACTTTGACATTTTATCTATCCGTCTAAAATATTTTAGATCAAAACTATTTCAGTCCTGTTTAACAGTGTAGGCTGTCAAAATGTCTAAGTCTGGTGTCTGGGCCAGAGGAAACACTGGCTAATACCTAAGTATCAGTGGTGTACAATTACAAGTCAACATGTAGAAATCTTATTAAATACCTAAACAACTCTTGGAAAGTAGCAAAACAAGTACTGAAATGGCGTCAGGTTGGTTCGCCCTGGGCTGTTTTACACTAGGTTAATTGTTTTGCCCTTAAAACATTTAGAGCAAAACTATTTCAGTCCTGTTTAACAGTGTATGACTAATTCTGCCTCTTTGGAAGGGTTCCTTAGTCTTGCATAATTCTTTTTTTACATTAGACTTGTACATATGATGGACCAGATATCTGCACAGCATTAATCCTGAAATTCATTATTTCAGGCCTGTTTAACATTGTATGACCAATTTGACTAGTTCAGCCTCTTTGGAAGTTTTCCTTAGTCTTGCATATTTTTTTTTTTTACATTAGACTTGAACATATGATGGACCAGATATCCGCACACCATCAACCCAAAGTTCTTCTTACAATTGTTTGTGAAACATAAAAACATTTAATTATTAAAAATATTTAAACCAATATTTATAACGTAAAAAGAAAACTCATATATGGCCGAAACAACCTTGGACGAACTGACCCCAGCGTAACAGGATTTAGGGTGTAACAATTGCAACCTGGATTCTACTGAGATATCTTGGTACCCAAACGGCCGAGTACCAAAATGCCTGTATCCCTTTTTACCAAAATCACATTCTATGCATATTTGTCGAACTCGTTTTCTAGGCATTGTAAGGATAAAGAATTGAAACATGATTGTAGTTTCTTTGCCATATCAATATAGTTCAAATTAAGCCATTATTTATATAAATAATTCAGTGTAATGGCATCATGTTATTGTACAAGGTCCATCTCCATCAATTAATTTCAACAAGTTGTGTTGTATATATAAATAAAGGGACTGTGTGGTAATTTGTACTCGAAAGCACACACTGCAAGCTCAATGTCGAGCTTTTGTTGACTTAGAAACATTGTCGATACAAATATCGATAAATGGTTTGAGATCGATTACAAATATATTTTTTTTAAACTGGGGCCAGCCACACCTCCTCTAACCTAGACAGACCACCTAGAGTGCTTACTGCGTACTTACCACTCATGTAATTTGTCCACTTCCAAAGCAGACCCTCCATTGTGGCCATCTAAATGTTTACGTTGATCACAAGTCGTAGCGGGGTGGCGTGATACAGGGACAGCCGATGTCCGGTTTACGAGATGACCGTCCATCCATACATGTCAGCGAATGAAAAGATATTCTTGTCGACCATTTTGTCCAGTCGTCTGATTCGTTTTGGTTGTGTACGAATTATTCTACTTGAGCATGCCTCATATTGATTTGTATATATTTATGAAGTAAACAGCTGGTTTCTCACCACATCGCCAACTCACACACTCGGAGTAATCCTTCACCTTGGCGTCAACTTCCTTGTAAACACGACGACCTTCCGGACTGTCATAGTCGCTGAGATGCTTAACGTGTATTGCTTTATCATAAAGCGTTATATTCACACAGAATGCATGGATTACGGGGACTATCTCAGAATGATTTATTTACTCCCTCAGGGGGGGTGTCAAGCGTAATTTTGCATCATTTAGAGTTGGCAAAAAGCTATTCGCGTGGCAACTATACAATGTAACGGAAGTCCATATTGGTCTTACCGGATACACACATCGACAAGAACATGCTTGAATTATTATACTGAGTTAAATCTCTGACAAAAGTTACAAGATTAAGGGAGGAAACTCGAAATCACAAACTCCTTTCAGTTGGCATTCATAGGCATTATGAATGCGCGCTAGCGCGTCATGTTCGATTGCCTTTGTCTAGTTGGAATTATATTCCTCATGAAGCTGATATTTACCATTTTGGAATCTGTTAATCTGATAGAAAATTAATGTACAGTTATAATTATTCAGCATTTAGTTCAAAAATGTAGGTACATCGTGTATGCTTGAACAGCCATCGCCAAGGGAGGGTCAGTGCATGCTATCAAACGTGAAATGTTAACGTCAACAATCGGCTCATGACATTGTCTGGTGAATGCAAACTGAATTAGGGAGGATTATTTAGTGGCAACGCCATGAGATGGTAAATATACTTGTACCCACATTAATTTGTTTTTTGAAAATACAACGGTAAAGTCGGAGTGAGATTTCGTCCGGTTTTCGGTCATGATTGGTACCCATATTGATGCACCATATCACAGGCTATATGACACTTGTTTCTATTTCTACTAGTTGACGTCCCGACTGCAGCAAAATATGTTGTTTTTATAAAAACCATACTGAACTACAATAGTATATATATTCATTATATATATATATATACTTACTAATAAATACGGGTTTTTTGTATATGCGATACGACACAATTTACCCATATCAGCCCCCGCCGTATCACACACCAAAACCCGTATCAGTCCGCAAAACCCGTATCACACCCCTTTTGGAATTTTTTTCGTTTTTCAATATTTCAAAAGAAAATTTTATTATAAGACAGAAACTTTTATTAGTAAGTATGTAATAAACAGAATAAAATATGACTTTTTCCATATCACACCCAGTATCAACCCTCGACTAATATCAACCCTCGGGCCTTCGGCCTTTGGGCTGATATTGCAGTCTCGGGTTGATACTGGGTGTGATATGGAAAAAGGCATGTATTATTCTCTCTCTATATATATGCATTTCTTATATTATCTGGTTCTAAGGACCAGAAATCAACATGTAAACATGTCCATTATTAACCCCTTCAAAATCCTCCAAAATAGTGCCGATCGACATGCGTCGGTTTTTTTTTGGTTTTCTGGCAGGTTTACTCTGAAGTCACCATGTCCTCTTTAAATGTCACTAACAAAAAAATAATGTGGAAATACTAATAAATATCTTAGATATTACACTTTCAAACGAAAATACACAAATTTGATTGTAAGTTGCATCCCTCCCACGGAGATAGGTGACAACGTCAAAGACCCAACACTAGGACAACATTCAAGGATAACAACCCCACCGGGCATCCCCAACTAGGACAGGCTCCCTCATGGAACAACAATGGTTGCGCAGAGACCAAATTAGAAAATAAAAGTATTTAAAATTATATCATCACCTACGATAGTGTGTGCCTTAGTGAGTGCTGGATTAATGATGAGTTTACTCCAGATTTAAAAGGTTTCTGTTCAAAGTGCATTATTCGATCGAAAACAAAATGTAAGCAAGGAGGTGGGATGATTCTTACGTATAAAGAAAATCTCAGTGAATATGTAAATGTGTGTAAGGTAACCGATGATTCGTTAATATGGATAAAGATCACCCAACAAGATGCTGAAGATGTGTTTCTCTTACCCTGGACAGGGATATTCACCATTTTTTTTTTTCTCCCACACCTGACAGATTTATCTCCCGTTTTGCCGGTGCTAGATTTATCTGTCTCCGCCCTAGGGTTGAGACGGGGGGATTCCCCTATTCATAACAATGGCATGACGTCACTTCAACAATGCAATGACGTCTTGTCAACACTCCATCAACAATTGCCTGTATGTGTTTCGGGTCCATGTTTACCTGTATTTCACATTAAAATACTGTTAGATATGGGAGAAAAATAATCAATCGCTACTGGTTGTGTAAGATAAAGAAATCTCAACCCTCGGACTAAGATTTTTTGTCCAGAACTCGGCAAGCCTCGGACTGGACAAACAATCTTAGTCCTCGGGTTGAGATTTCTCTATCTTACACAACCAGTAGCGATAGATTCTATTAATCTCATCCTAGAGTTGAGACAAGCTACACGTGTTCTTTGCACGTTCTCAACAATTGTATGACGTCATAGCAACAATACCATGACGTCACAGGAACAATACAATGACGTCACGTCGACAATTCAGTCGCATCACATCAACATTGTCTTGCATTGATGTAATGTCTATATACAGTACATAAAAGGGTAAACAGGGTAGGAGAAAAATAATCATTCACCCCCTTGGGAGTGAGACAGGGTGATCTCAACCCTTGGGGTAAGATCTTACCCCTCGGGTTGAGATTACCCTGTCTCACCCCCAAGGGTGTGAAAGATTCTATTAATCTGTGTTTTGTGTATATACTACCATATAAGGCAAATTATTACAAATCCTATGAAAATGATTTATTCGAGGAGTTAGAGCGTGATATACAATTTTTCTCGTCACAAGGCAAAGATATAATAGCTGGAGACTTTAACAGCAGGACGGGAAACCGGCCAGTTTTTATTCAACAAAAGGATTAACTGTTAATTGCAAGCATTAAATTGAACGAACAACTTGGTCTCTCTTTGCGTTGTTAAAGCATAAACTATCTGACTTTTGGTCAGTGTAGCATGTCAAACGCCCCTCTTACTACTATAACACTCTACTGAGCCTGTTTGATCTACATACATACATAAAGACTAGTATTGTCAGGAAATATTTGGTGTTAGGCAAGGAGATGCACTTTGGTTCTTGTACTCTAAGTCACAGGAAAGGGTGTTTTTAAGTAAAAAGACATTGTGGGATAAGTATGAAACTAAATTAAATATAATCATATAACTAATATATATGCCAAGTTACATGTTTATCCCCAAATGCCCTTTATATACAATCAGCGGATAAACATTGGAAATAGGCAGAACATTTGATAAAACAATGAAATCGGTTAACTTTAACGATTAAAGCAAATACTTTCCTTGAGGCTAGGAGACTTAAAATTACCAGCAAATCAAACTTCATATATTAAATCAATCATTTTACAGTAGTTGTGGTGGCAAATGCCATTTTTGATTTGTAAGTTAACGTTGATAAGTAAAAAAAAAAAACAGGACCTGGAACTCACTTCAGCCACAGGGGTTCAGCAAATTTTATATGATATATATAATATACAATACTAACAATTGATATCTTATACTTATAGCATATAAAGGGTGTAATGCACCTTTTAATTCACTTAGAATTGAGAGATATTTGAAAAGGCCAAGTTTGAGATGTGTCCAGAAGCCATAACTCAATATAAAACAAAAGGAAAGTATGTAGTCAATATGCAATTTATGTAAGTCTACTTAAAATGAGTGAAGTTGTAAATCTCAAGTCAAAATATTAATTAGAAAGGAAATTATTGAGAAAACAAATTACTTTTCAGTTGAAAATGACCGAAAAAAAAACCTGACTTAATCCTTCGTTTTATATAAACAATCTTAAGTGACGATTGAATTTCTGTCATTTTTCATTCTGTTACATATGCTTGTCTAATTTGTACATGTTTTCAAAAACAGAAATTGTATTATTTTGGTTTTTAAGCTCATTTTGAAAACAGCAAACTATATTTGTGATTTACCCTACCCCTTTTGGTACCCCCAGAAACCCACTTTCGGTCAAAGTTTTACCTTAGTTTTTCCGCATGTCATATAATAGGACATCTTTGAACAAAATAAGGAGGTGAAAATCTGAATATACCGGGGCCCAAAAAAGGGCCTTGTAGACACTCATCCTTTGTGACAATGTTATATATAAAAAACTTACTTAACTAAAGTGTCCCTATTTTTCTACTTATGTATGCCGATGACATGGTGTTGATATCAGAATCGGTGGAGGGACTTCAAAAGTCACTTGACACATTACTATTGTTCTCTGAAAAAAATGGAAGCTTACTCAGAAAACTAAAATTGTTGTTTTTCGAAAGGCTGGGAAGGCTCGAGATAATGAAAACATTGGTTATACGATGGTGAAATAATGAAAACATTGGTTATATGATGGTGAAAATATAGAAGTTGTTGATGAATTTTATTATCTAGGATTATATTTGAACTATAACGGAAAATTTACTAAGACTCCATAAGCTGTCTGAGCAAGGTCGAAAAGCGGTGTTTGCACTAAACTCAAAGATACGGAAGTTTTGATTTTAATGTACAAACTATGTTATCATTATTCAAAACTTATGTGAGACCAATTCTCAATTATGGAAGCGAGATAAGGGGATTTTATTGTGCCAAGGATATTGAAAAAGTAAAAAAGATTTTTTTAAATCAAATGTTAGGGGTGAAGCGAAGTACAGCTAATAACATGATTTATGAGGAATTAGGAGTATATCCTCTGATTACAATAAGAAAGTTGAGAGTGTTCAAATTTTTGTTGAAAATAGTACATGTACATAGTCACGAATTGTATAATGGGGATATATAATGATCTTATAGAAAGGTTTTAATGTTAGCGATAAATTCAACTGGTTGAGAGATATTAAAAAAACGTCACGGAGGAGTTTTAAGTACAGAACTATACAACATACTAGTCAACAGACTTCTGACAGATCATCCTCGATACTCCAGGGGTTACGCTCAGGTCAAAAAGAAACCCGGACCAATCGCTTAGGTTGATACCCGTCCTTTGAAGAATACAAAGGAGCGACACCAAACTTCAAAGCCTGTCAATTTTAGCGTTAGGCGACCGCGAGATTCTTTTGATGTTCATCAAAGGATCAAACTTATCTTTTCGTCTAATCAACAAGGTGGTACACACTGAGCCTTCGATTTTGCTATGACATATTCCATGAGTGAAGAGAGCGTAAGTGAGCGTAACCACAGGGTTATCGAGGATACTAACATATATACACAGTTCCAACCTCCCTTTGCGCTTACGGCACACCGTCCTGCTAAATAATGAATCAAGTACTTTAGGTCAAATTATTCGTCCTTAGCGCTGCTTGTCCTACTAATCTTTAGTTAATTGCAAACGTCCAAAATCACACCCCTGAATGTCGGGTATTGAAAAAAGAACATACCTGCTTATTGTAAGAGGCAACAGATGCGGGAACCCCCTGCAGAATTTGGGTTTGCTGTTGTGTCTTATACTTGGAAAAACAAACGGGACTAAAATCAATTTGCTGCAACTATTGCAACATTTGGGCTCTTTATATATCCCTCTACCTCCTACAAAGACCTGTAATGTTGCCTCCTGACACCTTGCTTTAGTGTCTTCTAGAAGGACATTTTAAGAGACTATAATTAATCAACTGTTGGTCTTGGCACTGCCCATGGACTGGTAGAATTGGGGACAAATCATCAATATGACTGGAATTAATAGAGGACCCAAAATGCAGGTTGGTTGTAAAGGGTGTAACGTCCTATAAACATATAAGGTCAACCAAAAAGGTCATGAACAAGAACTACAAACAGTCGGAGAGCTTTCCCATCCTCAGCAAGAAAGCTACTGCTGCGATGTTCATTCCTCAAGAACCACGATAGCTGATTGCGAGGTGTTCCACATCAAAGAGAATCAAAACGGAATTAGACTGAGCAACTAATTCATCAAGACTCATCAAATGATATCAAAGGAATTGGCGGTCTCTCACCATTCAAGCTCGATTTAAGAGCAGTTGTTGGCAAGGGACAGCCAGAAGACCAGAAGCATTTCTTTCCCCTCACTGAAATTAGTGGTGTGGAAAATAAGAGCAGAAATCCTGCCAATCACTGTGACACGAACGACTGGAAGTTCTTCTTTTCGAATTATAAGGGTGTCTAATGCTATGCATGGCATGTAGGTCGAGGATTATCGGGTTAATACGGAGTAGGACATGGGTATGTTCATATAGTGACATTTTTATCATATACTGTTCTATAACATCAAAAGCATTGCCAATAACACATAAAACACACAGACGATTTCTATTTCCTGAGCTTAATTAAAATCGCATTGAACCTTAAATAAAACACAATGAACAGAATAGGAAATACCGATTGATATGCAGTGCGTATACTACAAGATTGTGGTGTGATTTTTCCGAAAAGCGTTGAACTGAACGTTCCGCGTGCCGGGCGGATGCAGGTTGATCCAGGATATTGCCTTCACAAAGCTATTAGTATCACAATAAATGCAGAACAACCCATATCACGGACATATGCTGTAACCAAATGCATTTTGTAAGAGGTTAAAGCCGTTAGCTGTATACTGCAACCGGCGGAGTACTGTGCAAGGTGCCTTCGTCATGATATTTTAGTGATATAAAACACTCCAATGTCGGTATCAAATCCGCGCTATCTAAAGGAGGCAAATACACCAACATACCCTACATTCAGCTAACACGCACATTCAGCACACACACACACACACACTCACATACACAACACAGTCACACACACAACACACACACACACCTACACACCTACACACACACACACACACCACACACTCATACATACACATACACACACACACTCATACATACACACACACACTCATACATACACACACACTCATACATACAACACACACTCATACATACAACACACACTCACACATACAAACACACTCATACATACACACACGCACATGCATGCATTACACACATAGAGGAACGTCCTGAAATGACCCCAGCTGGTCATCAGACGTTGAATGTAATAAGGTGTGTTTATGGTGTGTCTAGAGCGGCTTTGTTTATCAACGGGCGTGAAGTTATGAGTGCAATGACTGCAGTGCCTCGTGTGCAGTAGTGTGCAGTAGTGTGCAGTAGGGTGCAGCAGGGTGCAGTAGGGTGCAGTAGGGTGCAGTAGGGTGCGCGAAGTCGGAGAATACTGTTATGTTTTGATCAATTGTTTAGCGTACATGTATATATACAGTATGTTAAGTTTTTCAAATGTTGCAATATATAGCTATTGAAAACAATTGAGAGTAAGGTTGTAAGTGCTTCTGTCTTTTATGTACTATATGGGATACCTTACTCTGAGCGGTTAAAGCACTATTTTTTTTATCATTTAGTGTTATTGTTGTTTATAAACATGCTTTTCATAAAAGCTTTGTTCCCCAGTTTTGTCATAATTGTATTCCCCCC